CCCTCGCCCGCGCGCGCCCCGGGCCACCCCCGACGGCGAGCCCGTCTCCCCACGCTCCCCACCCCACGCAGGGATGCTGCCGGGGCAGCTTCTCCACGCACCACAACTCGGCCGCTTGTCCCTTCGGGAGGGCGGCCCAGCGCCCCTCCCCTTCAGCGGGGCTGGACTCGGTGGCCAAAGGCCAACGAACAGGCTATGACACGGGGACGGGGTCACTTCCAAGACTGGTCGCGAGAGGCACCGGGCGCCACAGCGGTCTCGCCCTGGGGAAGCCAGCCGCCACGCTGTGAGGACGCGCAAGCAGCGCCACGGGGGGCACCGGCCTCCCCCCAACAGCCAGGCGGGTGGCCGGCGTGGGATCGGCCTCTGGCCAGTCAGGCCTCCGGATGAGGCCTTCCGGGCTGGTGTCTTGACTGCGACTTCTGAGACACCCACCCAGGCCGACCCGGCGAAGTGCTCCCAGATCCTCAGAAACCCCATGAAGTGACGGATGTGTCATTCCAAGCTGCCGAGCTTTGGGACGATTTCATCACACAGCCACAGAGACCGCTGGCTGTCCAGGCGGGCCTGCGAGCGCACCACCGAGAACCTCCTCAGGCCTCAGCACAGACGAGCCCCACGGCCCCTCGAGCCCGCCTCAGCCACGCCCAGGTGCGCCTCACCACGCCACGCCTGCCCGTGCCGGCCCTCCGCCACCACGCGCCCAACCCCGACCCCCAGGGCTGCCGGGCCCTGCTCCAGACAGCCCCTAGCCCCGGGCTTGCAACTCTGCCTCCTGACTTTCTGGAACCTTCCCTGCCGCCTGCACAGGAGGAGGTGCGGGTATCTGTCGCCAGCCCCTGCCCGCCAGCCCCCAGGAAAGACGTGGGCTCTGGGGCCCCAGCAGGCGCTCAGGCCTGCCTCCAGGACAGCGACTGGCCCCAGCGCCCACACCCCCTCATGGGAGCGTCTGTCACTAAACGCCGGACATGCCACGTGTGGGGAGCCCAGGCGGCAGCAGCCTCTTTCCAGCACCTCTCTCACCCACTTCCCGTGCCCCTCAGCATAAACGCCACGAATCCTGACACTGTCACCAGGCAGTGACCAGCCCCCGACCTTCACCCTGTCCTACCTCGGCACCCACAGGCTCTGTAAGAGGCCAAGCCCACCTGAGTTCCGGGAGGGGGGCGATGCGGGTGACACACCCTCTGCCCAGAGGGATCCATGTTCCCCCTAGAGCAGAGCAGTGGCAGAGGGGCTGTGGTCCCGGACCCAGGTCTGCAGGCCCCACCCTGTGATAGTGGGCCGGGCCACCGACCTGGGCCCCCCTGGGTGCCGAGCAGCATCCAGGGCCTCCACTGACTCCACGTCAGGAGCACTCCCCAGGCGTGACAATGTCCCCAGACAACACCCAGTGTCCCCCGGGGGGGGCAGAGTCACCCCCGGCTGAGACCCCCATGGCTAACAAAACCCTGGTGGGAAAGCTCAGCCCGCAGGTTTGTCCAGAAGAGCGGCGCACTGGGAGGCGGCCACCTCAGAGAACAGCGCTGCCATCACACCCATCAGGCCACCGTCAGCAGGGAGCGGGGAGGGCTTTCATGCGGGCCAGAGGGCACCGCCCCGGTCACGCCGCACCCCAGGTGCAAGGGCCCTCAGGCTGCAGACGCCCACACTGTGGCACGGAAGAGCCAGCCCCGGCCCCACTGAGGACGCTGGGAGGCCCATGACGGCCACGAGGAATTCTGCATGGCCATGGGTCACTGCCCGGTCGGATGGAACCAGCCTGGCCCCGCCGCTCTGGCTCTGTAACAAAGGCAAGTGACAACCATGGCCCTGGCACAGCACGGGCCCCACCAAGCTCTCCAGGGGCAGCCGGGTGCCCTGATGGGGGTCCACACACACACACACAGCCGTGCCCTCACACACTCAGGTGCATGCACGCCCACACACACAGGCACACACACAGACACATGCACACATACACATACACGTGTGCACACCAATGTACTCGGCACAATGCAAATATACGTGCGCATGTATGCACACATACACACATGGGCACACATGCACACTTGGTGCGTGTGAACACGTGCACAGGGACACATGAGTGAACACACATGCATACACAGAACCGGCCCAGGATCACACATACACACTTGGGACAGACAGGCCCATGTGTGCATGCATGAGCACACGCATATGCACTCTGCGTGTGTGTGAACATGGGTGCATGCCCGCATGCACCCGTGCAGCCCGTGCACAGCTGGGCAGCCGCGTGTTGAGCCACAAGCCCTGCCCAGCTGAGCAGGGGCCGGCAGACACAGCCCTCAGCGCTGGACCAGGGGCTTCTGGCCGTCCCAGGCACTCTGCCCCACTAAGCCCAGTGTGCCAGGACCAGGGCGAGGCTCTGGGTGGCACCCGAGGATCGTGACCGGGTTTGTTCTCTCAGATGCTCTGGCCCAGTCTCCCATTCTTTTGTTTTTGAGTCGGAGCCCCGCTCCGTCGCCCAGGCTGGAGAGCACTGGCACGCTCATGGCCACCCCAGCGTTGACCTGCAGGGTCCTGGCGATCCTTCCGTCTCAGCCTTCCGAGGAGCCAGAATCACGGGCATGCACCACCAGGCCCAGCCAGTCTTCTGGTTTATTGTGGAGATGTCTCACCAAGCTGCCCAGGCTGGTCTCGAGCCCCGGAGCTAAAGCAATCCTCTCGCCTCCACCTCCCAAAGTGGAGAGATGACAGGCATGAGCCACCACGCCCAGCCCCACCTTCTTTTCAAGTCACACCATCTCCCAGGGCCGCCTCAGCCACCATCACAAGCCGCCTCAGGGCCCCGCATGGCCAGCCCTTAGGGAAGGGGATGGGCCATCGGCCGCCACACCCTGGAGCCGCCCCAGGGCTGTTTCGCAGCCCAGCAGAGAGACGGTGTGCAAGGTGGCGGGATGGGGCCGCGGGACGAGGTGCCGGACAGCCCGCACCTCCCGTGCCCAGCAGCGTCCCGTCCGCCCAAGGCCATCCACTGCTCGCCAGCGCCATGCTGGCCTGAGCTCATCTCCCCGTCGTGCAGGAGGAAGGGCATCTTCCCCAGACGCAGACGAGGAAGCTGAGGCTAAGGGCTCAGACACACTCCGGACCACACACCTCGCCCTTCCCAGGGTGCGGCCCCCCGCTAGCACAGGGCAGCCATGTCAGGAGGGACTCTGGAAGGAGCCGCTGTGCTGTCCCTGGCCGTCTGCCCAGGCAGGGGCACCGGCAGTGGGGATGCAGTCCCCCTGGGCAGAAGCCCCGCTCAGCAGCCAGTCGAGGGGAGCTGGGGGGCCGGACACCCCTGCACACTCTGGCGAAGTGACTCCAGCCAACCAGCGGCAGTCACGCAGCGAGCATCTCCGGCCTGCACGGCTCAGTGCCACGTGCGGTTGGGCAGGCCCGAGGACACACGGCTGAGGACAGCCACAGAGGGAGAGGGGCTCGCGGGAGACAAGGGCCAGCAGTCCTCAAGCAGGGCGGTGCTGGCCCTGGAGACACTGATGACATCTGGGGACGCGTGGTCGGCCCACCTCGAGCTGCTCCTGGCATGGGGAGGGGAGGCCAGGGCTGCCACTCGGCACCTGCAGCGCCCAGATACCTCCCCGGAGAATGACCCGGGCTTGACGTCCACCACACTGAGGCTGGGAAATCCGGGGGGGGCGCACGGGCAGCTGAGCCAGCTCCGGGAGGGCAGCACAGAACCGGCTCTCGCCCAGCCTGACAGCAGGCACACGCTGGGTGCTGCAGACACCATGGACACACGGCACGATGCCGGTAGCCATGTCAGGCGTTCACACAGGGCCGGGCATGATCGGCAAGTCCTCAGCCCTGCTCCTGGAAACGGAGGCATAGGCCTGAAGCCCCACAGCGACGGGTGACAGTAGCAGGCCATGAGCCTCTGTCCCCCAGGCCGTGCGCTGACCCGACCCCGCTGAAACGGCCAAGGCCCTGGGAGCCGGATGCTCACCTGTCCACTTGAGGGACCAGCAGGCGCCAGAGGCAGGTGCCAGTCAGGGCTCCCGACCTGAGCAGAGCCTGGGGCTGGAGAACTGGGTCGGGACCAGCCTGTGGGGGACGTGGCCAGGTCCACGGGCCAGTGGGGGCGGCTCCCAGGCGGCCAACTGGAGACCCAGAAACCCTGGTGAGGGCCCTGGAAAGAAGCTCGCCACCGCCGGAGCACAGGCCCACACGCGTCTGCAGCCCCTGCATTCAGATCAGGGTTCTGGGAGCCCTCAGTCTCCGCCAGATACCAGCCCCACGCGTGGGCCTATCCCCCCACACTGTATCCGCTGCTCCCTGCAGCCACCTGGCGGGCAGGCCACGCGAGGCGAGCTGTCCCCAAGTCACAGGCGGGGTCCGGCTGGGAGGTGAGAGCCCTGCTGGGGACCCACAGGGGCACCGGTCCGCCCCATGCGCGTCCTCACT